GCCCAGGGCTGTCACTGTCACGCTGCGGTCACTTGCTTGCAGCGGGAGCAGGGCCTGGCTCTGTGAAATGCATCCAACCTAATGTCTCCGCGTTGCACAGAGAATCACGATGATTTAACCACGGCAGGTTTTTAAATATCAGTCTGGTTTGTGCACGCACCAGCCAAGGCACCCACGGGTTGTGACAAATCCAAGCTGACAACTCCCCGTCTCCTACCTTTTTTTTTCCCCAGTATCTATGTCCGGGGGCCTTTCCCCTCGGGTACTCGTCACCGTGCTGGTGGTAACTGCCCTTTGCTGCCTTCCCCAGGTCAGCGTCTACCAAGTGCTGGAGAAGAGCGAGCCGGACGCTCCGGAAGGGAAGAAGCTGCTGGCAGCCAGGCTGGTCTCACTGCAGGGCTCGGGCTGGGAGGTCTTTGCCATCACACAGGCTGTGAGTTGCTTTTCCCCTGGTTCGGATGGCACAGAGGGAACCCTGGGGGTTTGCGTGCAGGAGCTTTTTTTAACCCATTTCACCCCCATTGGCCTTTCAGACGCCGATGCAATTTCCTATCTGTAGTCTCTGCAGCAATGGGGGGGGATACAGCCTCTGGGAGGGGGTGTAAGATCCCTGCCAAGAGCCCTGGGGGGCTGCTCCATCCTGCCCCACACCAGTCCCACTGCTCCACAGGTAACGCCAGTGCTGGCTCCTGTTACCCTGTCCCCTGTGCCGCAGCCCTGGAGCAGCACAGCCCCTTCCCACGGCTGGGAGATGGAGCGTGGTCCGGGAGGGTGGGGCCGGGTGTTGTTCACGCTGTGGGGACCCCAGGGCGGGGCCTGCTCCAGCCTGCGGCACCGCAGTCACACCAGTTTGGTTTCCCAGGTTCGCGACTGGACTGAAGATGAAAGCAGCAATCGGGGTTTGCTGGTGATGGTCCAGGGCCTGGGCGGGAGCCCGCTCGACCCCCCACCACTGCAGTTCGCATCCAGCAGGGACCACCACGAAAGCAAAAAGCCCATGTTGGTCCTGTTCACAGACGACGGACGCCGGGGAGCATCCCTGCCCGTGGCCGGCTTCCCAGGTGGGTCCCACATGCCCTGGCACGGCTTCCTCGGTGCCGCCTTCCCCTCGCCCATGGGGCACTGGGGTGCTCCCCGCACGTGGGCTCCTTCAAATCCAAAGCTCCTTCTGCAGCCAGAGGGAGAGGCCGTCTCCTTTCTGGTTTAGCCTCTGCAGGAGCGCAGGCTTGCAGATGTAAATCTGGATTTTGCTTGCCCTGATGAGTGCAGCCATGGGGCTGTGAGGTTGTCACCTCCAGACAGCTCTGCCTGGGCTGGTGACAGGTCACAACCGAAAGGCTTGCTGCACCAGATGGCTGCAGGGAGCCGGGGGCTGCACCACGTTCTCCCTTGTCCCAGGCTTGTGCAATGGCTAATGACATCGGATGCTCCTTTCTGGCAGATTTATTTTTTTTTTCTCCCCGCCAAGATGTCAGTGCCCAAGCTGATCGGGCCGCGCAGCACGCGTTCGCTGGATCGGCTCCAGCCCTGCCAGAGGCATCCCTTGTCTGTGGACTTCGAGGAGATCGGCTGGTCTGGCT